GAGAGAGAGAGAGAGAGAGAGAGAGAGAGAGAGAGAGAGAGAGAATTTGTTAGGACATTAATTTTGGGAGAGAGAGAGGAGAGAGAGATTTGTTCGGACATTAATTTTTTTTAGTTGACTATTTCCTTGTCTAGGTAATTCTGCTTGAAAGGATTGAAGAAAAAAATAGAATAAGGCTGACTATGGAACCTAAATAGAAACTACCATTCAGAAGTGGAAAACTATTGGGAGAGTCAAAATTAGGAATATGGGCTGGAAAGATGGCTTAGCCATTAAAGACTAAGGCTCACAACCAAACGGACAAAAATTAAAATTACGGTTCAGCTGTGTAGTTCTTCTGCAGTAGAATTCAGTTTTAATGTGAAGACAGACTGGTGAACTGGCCCATCTGTCCATTTCTGTGTGCCAAGCTCTGTAGCAGTGAAAGTTTCCACAGTGCATATCAGAGGAAGCAAGAGTTGGGATTTGGAGGAATTAACCAAAGGATAAAAACTGCCTAGCGAGAGAAGGGTTAATAAACAGAAAACATTAGGAGTCAGGACATTGGATTTACTGAGTTGGAGGGAAAAGTGCAGCAGGAACAAACATGTTAAAGAGCAAGGGTGTCTTAGTTGGGATTTCTGTTGCTGTGGAGAGATAACCATGACCATGGTGACCCTTTTTGTTGTTCTTTTTATTTATTCGTTGTGTCTTTCACATGATGTATATCCATCCCATTCATTTCCTTATCCCTTCATATCCACCCTCTGCCCTTGCAACCTCCCCACCAAAATAAAAATAAAATTTAAGAGAAAAAGAGAAGGGAAAAAAAATCAATCTCATCATGGAAGCTGAAATGTGACACAGTATGTCACACAGAAAACCCTTTTATCCATATATCTTTACTTGCAAGTGTTTGTTGCAGAGAGTCATTGGTCTGGTTCAAGGCCTCTGGTTTCTGCTACAATAGTCACACTGGGCCTTCACTGGGCTCCTCTTGGTTATCCTGCTATTGTCCTGTGTTATGGAAATCCTGCAGGACCAGCCCCTTCATGTGTTCCAGCAGATCACAGGTAGGGTGGATGTTGGCGGTGGGCCAACACAACCCTGACTCTAGGTCTGGATAGTTGCATTGTTGGTTAG